ACTGATCGCTCCAAATTTTAAGAAGGGATCACGCAATTTACCGTGGAAAAAGTTTATCAATCGTCTCCGGAGTCAGTAAACCTGATGGAATAAAAGCGAAAGATCCCAATCTACCGGCATCAGCATAGGGATCGGTGACATGCAACATTATCCGAAGGAACGTCTTGAGGAGGATCTCGAAAACTGTTGAGCCAATGGGACTGTTTGCGATAGAAGTGGACAGAGTATGCACGAAAAAGAACGACTTGGTCGCCGTGCAGAGCATTTTCGTGAACAGTTTAATTGGCCTAGTTCTAATGCGGTTAGTCCGGCAATTGCAGCGAAAACTCCATGGAGGGTAACATATGAGCCGCCAACAAAGTTTGAAGTGCGAAATTTTATTCAGTCGTAAAATAAAGGAAAGACAGCAGGACCTGACGGGCTTCTGCTCATTCTTTTTAACCTGGAGATGACTTGTCGACTCGATCGCCAACTTAGCAGCATTTGGCCGGAGGAACGTAGCTCTATCTTGGGATGGATCGTTGACCATCCCGATCTTCAAGCAGGGATCATGCAATGACTGCGCAAACCACCGCGGGATTAGTTCAGTTCCTATAATCACTAGTGTTGACATCTCTGATACTTCACCGCCTGACACCTATAGGGGGGATGAGTATACGGAAACGGTTAGCAGGATTACGACTAGGTCGCGGTTTCATCGACCACTACGTCAAGTCCTCGAATTGCATCACACATCGTCGACTAACAATCGCAGCGTTCCTTGACCGAAAAGGACTCTTTGATTCAGTTGACCGTGAATCCCTGATAGATGCACTGCTTCCCGAAGGAGTGCCGCAGAAGGATGTAAACATGTTGAGGTCACTGTTCATGCATACTGCGGGCACCGTAAGAGTTTATGGTGGGCTAAGCAAATCGTTCGAAATAAGAAGCTCTGTTCGTCAAAGGCGCCCTACTTCACTATTCCTGTTTAATTTCGTCGTAGATGAAACACGAGAAGGCACTTAGTGGTCTCCAAACTGTTGGTATGGAACGCGGAGCTGGATAGAAGGTCTGCGACCTAGAATGCGCTGACAACATCGTTTGCCTGTTTGAATCTGTGGGGGACATACATATCGCACTTGAAAAATTAGCACGTTCTTTGCTTCGTTAGACATGAGCTTTACACCTTCAAAGTGATAGTACAAGGTCGAGTATCGTTTCAAAACTAGATGGGCAGTAATTGGCTGAAGTTGACTGCTTCTCATACTTGGGTAGCTGCGTAACCAACGGCAGTAGCGCATCAAACGAGAAAACCACCTACATTTCCGAGGCTCAAGCATTGTACGCAGGACTGAAACACCTGTGTCGACGATGTGACGTTTCACTGAAGTTGAAAAGTCGCATATATTGCGCCACTACAGTTGAGACCTTTGTGGGTAGAAGAAATCCGTCGCCTAGCGGTTTTT